CACAGAGCAGCCAGTGGACTTAAACTGCATGCCTTCAGGACTGCAGCACTTCTTAACACTAGGCTACCAGAGCTCCTTCTATGTATTTATATGTTGCGCGCGCGCGCGCGTGTATCACATGAAGAGTGTGACCAAGAGCAGATCTTCCCAAACAAGAAGTAAAGCTATCTACCAGATAGAGGAATTGAGCCTGGGGACCTTGCTAGACTGTCTATGTGTATCATGACCTAACAAGTGGTATCTCCTGACTCAGAGGAGGAGTGGGTGCCCCTTCTAATATGAGGTTGAATGGCACAGTTGGTACGCTCTGGAGGAACATTCTGAGAGATTTCAGCTACAGAAACAGATAGCACAGGCCTGGCCAGAGGTGCTGTGGATTCTTCTGCCTGGTACTAACATCCTCAGTTCCCTAGTTCCACACCACATAGACGAGCTATTCAAGATAGCTGTGTGCTGCTGCTCTCCTTATTCAATGTTTCAATTCAGTCTCTTCCTTCATTTTAAATACTTCGTCCTTTCTTTTTAAACTGTGAGTTGAAGAATTATTATCCCTATTCATTATTCTTATTTTTTGGTGTCTTTGGTGTAGAAGCTCTGAAATGCTATCTGCCCAGCCAACATTTTACTCAGTGGCCAAAAGCTTGAGTACTGCCTGGGCCTTTCCTCTCAAGCTGGACACAGACCTCACCACCACTCGATGCCCAGGACCCAAAAGTCATAAATGGAAAGCAGCAAGCAAAACAGGCACTGGACTCAAATCCAGGGAAGCCCGCATCCCCTAGAGTAGCAAAGACATCATCTTTACCAAGACAACAAATCTACACTAGGCTGGGGCCCTTCCCTCTTGACACCCTTGGAGATCTTTCCCACAGCATGCATGTTTGTTTCATGGCATTTGTACATTTGTTTGTTTTATAGTTTGCTCTTACAGGTACAACCTTTCTCTGTCAGTTTACTGCACTTGGGTGGGGAGTATGACTTGCGTGCTACGGGTTCAGTTTGCTCTTATACAGACTTGTCTGTCAGTACATTGTACTTACTGACTTCCATGTTGCTGGAAGCTATGTCTTTGATAAACTCCTACACATTTGCCTCATAAAAATTCAGCAAAACAGGAATGAAGGGAAATTTCTCAAGGTCATAGGTGCAAAACCAAGAGACAAAATTATACTTAAAGGAAAAAAAAGACTGAGTTTTGTTGACTCCTGCTGAGTCAGAACAACCCATAGCTGACCCTCCAGTAGATTTTCAAAGGCAGTAAATCATACGAGAGGAGATGCCCCATCTTTCTCCCACAGAGCAGCTGATGGATTTGAACTGCATGCCCTTGGGGTTGCAGCACTTCTTACCATTAGGCCACAAGAGCTCCCATCCCTCTTGTGCACAGCAATAAAATGTCCACTATCACAACTCTATTCAGTTTTGTATCAAGAAATCTAGTCAGAGCAGTAACATAAGATATAAAGAACACCAGAAGCGAACAAGAACCATCACCTTTATTTACAGATATACCCCAATACATGACAAGGTCAGTAGTGGATCAGAACTACCAGAAAGGAGCAGTGGCCTTTTGGTTAGCAGCACACATATAATGGAGCATGTGACCAGAGAAAAAGAACATCAGGAAAAAACACTGCATGACTTTACTCACAGAATAACAAGAACATACACATACAGGTACATACATACAGACACCAACCTTCACTGGTTCTGTGGGAGAATTAGGGTTGAGTCAATTCCAACTCATAACTGACCCCAGCAGATTTCCAAGGATGTAAATCACACAGGAGCAAACTGCTCGTCTTTCTCCCTCAGACTGACTGGTGAAATCAGACTATCGGAGAAGCCTGGCTTTTGAGATTACAGTGCAACTCTACAAATTATACCACCAGAGCTCCCTGATTCTCTACAAAATAGTCACATTTTATGAATAGTGATGGACGAGAAAAGGAGTATCGAACATGGGTGAAATATGTTCAACTTGACCAAGATCATGGACGCCACACTAAATTATACACGCAGGAACACTCTGGTAATTACTATTACATATAATCTTACAAGATCTCACATACATACACGCACAGAAATGGGATAATCTAGTCCATGCATTCTGTTTTATATCCTAATTTGCTAAATAGTATCTGAGGTGTTAAAAGCTTACCACAAAACCTAATATACAATTATTGGTCTCTACTTGTCTGGAGCATAAAAAAATAAGAAAACACAAGATTTCAGAAAAGGATGATGTATAAGACTATCTACACGAACTGCAGCCTCCTCTATTCTAAGACCAGAAAAACTACGTGGTGCCTACTCTACCACCTACCAAATATGCTAATCAGGACAACAAGAGATGACAGAGAGAAAAACGTGAAACAGAACTTCAGATTCTCATAAAATCCAGACTCATCTGAGACAGATGGAATTCCTCAAACTCTTTAACCCAAAGTTATCCCCTACAGTCACCTTTTAGATACATAGCAAGTTGGCCCGTAAAGAGGATTGCACTGTTTTTAAAAAATGATTTGACCAAATGATAAAAGTTACTACTCTTACACACAGATGATAAGGCTGAGGGGACAGAGAAAGGTTAATGGAAAAGAATCAAATAGAATTTAAACAATGCAAATGTTGACACAGAAAATGTAATCAATGTCACAGAACACTATGTGCAGAAATTACTGAATGTCAACCTGTCTTGCTATGTACACTAATATACATACAATATTAGTCGTTTTAAAAGTGAAGAAATGAGCTATTTGCAATAAGAATTCCTCTAAAAATTAAACAAGTATGTTTTCAGACGATCTTACTAAATTTTCAAAAATCAGATCAGTTTATATAAGTGAGATGCCTAATTTTTTCTCCTTAATATGTAAAAACAAAAGAAAGGCTTATAAAGTGAACACTAACACTATAAAAGAGCATATTCCTTAGTACAACCATTGTTGTTGTTATGTGGCATTGAATCGCTTGTGACTCATAGCAAACCTATGTATAAGGGCCTAAATGCCATTCTATCCTGTGTCAAACTAGCCATCTCAAACGCACTCATTCCCACCACTCCAGTCACAGAATCGATCCATCTCATCAAGGGTCTTCCTCTCCTGTGCCTCCCCGCCACTCTGCCAAACATTATGTCCCTCTCCAAGGACCAGTCCCTCCTTGCAACATGCCCAAAATATGTCAGACGAACTTCAGAATCCTTGCCTCCAAGGAGCATTCCGGCTTCACCTTCTCCAGGACAAACCTGTTTGTTCTCCTAGTAGTCCATGTCCATGGCATATTCAACACTCTTCTCCAGCACCACAGCTTAAAGGCATCAATTCTCTTTCTATCATCCCTATTCATTGTCCAACTCTCCGATGCATAGCAAGTAATTGCAAAGACTATAGCCTGGATCAGGCGCACCTTAGTATCCAGCCTAATGTCGTTGCTCTTCAGTACTCTTGAGAGGTTCCTCACAGCTGACTTTCCCAATGCAATTCATCTCCTGATTTCCTGGCTGCTGTTACCAAGAGTGTTGACTGTGGAACCAAGTAAACTAAAACTGTTATCTCAATCTCTTCACCATCCATAATGATGCTGCCAATTGGCCCAGTGGTGAGAATCTTTGTTTACTGACACTACACTGGATGTGCTCACTAAGTTGTGCCAAGAAATCTGGAGGACTGCCTGCTGGCCGACAGACTGGAAAAGATCAATATTTGTTCCCATTCCAAAGAAAGGTGACCCAAGAGAGTGCGGAAATTATCGAACAATATCATTAATACCACATGCAAGCAAGATTCTGATGAAAATTAACCAAAAACATTTGGAACAATATGTCAAAAGAGATCTGCCAGATGTGCAGGCTGGATTTAAAAGAGGTCGTGGTACTAGGGATATTATAGTTAATGTCCGATGGATCTTGGCAGAAAGCAGAGACTACCAGAAGAACGTCTATCTGTGCTTCATTGACTATGCCAAGGCTTTTGACTGTGTGGATCACAACAAGCTATGGCTGACTCTGAGAAGAATGGGAATCCCAGAACATTTGATGTGCTTATGCAAAACCTATACTTGGACCAAGAGGAGGTCATCAGAACAGAGCAAGGAGACACTACATGGTTCAAAATCAAGAAGGGGGTCCGTCAGGGATGTATTCTGTCTCCATAACTTTTCAATTTGTATGAAGAACAGATCATCTGAGACCCTGATGTACGAGGAGGAATGTGGCATCAGGATTGGTGGAAGAGTCATCAACAACCTGCATTATGAAGATGACAAAACAAAAGTACAACCATACGAGATCAAAAAGGCAGCATCTCATAAACACAATGTATGGGAATGACTGCACAAAACACAATGAGAATAAAGGAAAGTGCGAAACACAATGGATACAAGTTTTGTATGCAAACCAATATAAAATAAAAATTTACATTAAAAAAGGGTAATACCTGCCAAAAAACAAAGCTCAGAAGACAGAAAAGGAGGATAAAACTGGGTACCCAGAGAGGAAACAGGAAGAGTGGCTTTACATGGAAGGAACTGCAACCAAGGTCACAAATCAAAGTATATATATGCTACTGAAAACTAATCTGCTCTGTCTACTTGCCATCCAAACTACAAGAACAAGCTCAAAACAAAATCAATCATAAATGTGCTCCTTTTCTTCTTTCTTTCTGGGACCATCAGCATTTTGGCCTTTAGATTAGCAGCTGTACTAAGAGAAGAGAAAGCCTTTCCCTTCCATTGCCTACTTTCCTGAGGTTGTATCTAATTAAAAGCATAATGGACAAAATTTGAACATGTCAGGGGGAAAAAACGTGGGGGGTTAGGAAAGTCAATAATTTTAAACCTTATTCCAAACAGTTTGCTGAAGTCTTAAAAACAGTCACTCTTTTCCATAATTGGCAGCCTGTCCCCCCTTAACTCCAACACTTTTCACTTTGCTGCAGTGCAGCAGTGAAGGCCAGTGTGGAGAAAAAGCATCGTCCTCCAAAGCCCAGTCTGCCCACCTGACATAACATCTTCTGCCAGGTCCTTTTCTCTTTCCATCTTCTCCTCTAGAGTCGAAATGCAGAATTCATAGCCGGCAAGAGCAAATTCTTGTCTGCAAAGCAAAGACCAGGAAATGGCTGTTCACTTAATTCACAAATGTCTTTTCAATTTCATTATTTTGCTTCTGTTTAAGTACTAGCAGTTTTTTTAAAAAAAGGTTGGCTGCAAAGAGGCAATGTTTCGAAGTCTCTAATGCAGTATCTGTTATTTCTCAGCAGTTTCAATTCATTCACTTAATGTCAAGACATAAAAAGCTAAAAATGCTAACATAACCAAGTCTTCATCATTTTCCACTAAAAAATTCTAGGTCAGTTTCTCCAGCTGTAAAAGTCTGACAGCTATTCAAAGGAACACTACTAATAAGAACACCCTGCACTGGGGATTCCCACTACCAACCTTAAACTGTTTCTGGACACTTAACACTTTCCTAAACGGCAATAAATTTTTTTATAGAAATGGAATTCTTTGTTTGCTAAGGGCCTAGAAAGCACTTAGGACATCTAAGCAGGCAGACTGTCTCTGGATACAGTACCTGCCAACTCCTGGTTCCTACAGAAACACACAGAAACAAGGCAGAGAGTCCTTCTCCACCCAAGGTTCAACTTAGTTCCTGTTCCAGTTCACTAAGTTAAGTAATATTACAAAGCTCATCTCTTCTCTGAGAGCTTTTCCAGAGAACTGATGACCTCACAATTCTACTTTGTTCTCAGAAGAAAAAGTGTTCCCTTTTCTTTCCCAGTGGCAGGAGAACTCTGTCTAGACAGGACATGGAGCAGGAGGCTGATCATAAGATGTACCTTGCCAGAGCCAACTGTCTATAAACAATTCCCCTACTACTGAAACTTTACTCAGCTTTAATGAGACTCAGGATTTGGCCCTATCTTTTCTGGTCTCAAGTCTCTCTTAATAGCATCAAGAAATTATTTTGAGTACAGAACAACTTGTTGTTGTTATGTGCCGTCGAGTCACCTGCGACTCACAGCGACCCTATGTACAACAGCCCTAAACTCCGCTCTGTCCTGTGCCAATCGCACTGTCTGACACTCCCATCCCAATTATCCCAGTCACTGAATCAATCCACCTTATAGAGGGCCTTCCTCTCCTGCGCTGTCCCTCCACCCTCCCAAGAATGATGTCCCTCTCTAAGGACCGGTCTCTCCTCACAACATGTCCAAGGTATGTTACACGGAGCCTCAGAATCCTTGCCTCCAAGGAGCCACCCGGTTTAACCCTTTCCAGGACAAATCTGTTTGTTTTCCTAGCAGTCCATGGTATTCTCAATACTCTTCTCCAGCACCACAGCTCAAAGGCATCAATTCTCCTTCTATCCTCCTTGGTCATTGTCCAACTCTCTGATGCATAACAGGTGATTCCGAAGACCATGGCCTGTATCAGACGCACCTTAGTCTCCAAAGAGACACCATTGCTCTTCAGCACTTTGGAGAGGTCCCTAACAGCAGACTTTCCCATTGCAATGCGCCTTTTAATTTCCTGGCTGCTGGTGCCAAGACTGTTGACTATGGAGCCAAGCAAATTAAAGCTGTGTACAATCTCAATCTCTTCACCATCCATCCTGATGCTGCCAATTGGTCCAGTGGTGAGAATCTTTGTCTTCTTGACATTGAGCCTCAATCCATATTGTAGGCTGCAGTCCTTGACACTCTGCAGCAGGTGCTTCAGGTCCTCTTCAGTTTCAGCAAGCAGGGTTGTGTCATCCGCATAACGCAGATTGTTGATAAATCGTCCACCAATCTTGACCCCACATTTCTCCTCATAGAGCCCAGCCTCCCGGATAATCTGTTCTGCATATAGGTTGAAAAGGTATGGATATAGGATAAATCCCTGGCATACGCCCTTCCCAATTATGAACCATGCAGTGTTCCCTTGCTCTGTTCTGACGAATGCTTAAAGGCTAATTATTACTGGCTACTACACAAACTTCTACTGCTACATAACTGAGTATCTTATCAGTATTTCTTGGCTTTGTTCTGCTTTCTCTCCCATAAATTCACCTTATCAATAGCTGCTTTCATTTTCACATCTCCAAGAAAATACTACTCCCTGCTGTAGTGTTCGCTGGCATGGTCCCAAGTTCACAGCTTCTCAAAAGACTTGGAAGTCAATGGCCATCAGAAGTTTTGGCCTATAATGCCCAGTCATAATGCAGATCTGAGCAAATCTTGCTCAGAGATAAGTAGCTAGTGATAGGACAGCAGACACCATGGTCAGAGGTTTTAATGAGGACTTTTAATAGCACCATGTTATTCCCAATTTCTGGCTGTCATGTGCTACCGTTAGTAAAAATATAAGGAAAAGAAAGCCTTAGGTCTCCCCCACACTGGCCTTAGTTCTCCCCCACACTACCCTTAGGTCTCCCCCACACTAGCCTTAGTTCTCCCCCACACTACCCTTAGGTCTCCCCCACACTACCCTTAGGTCTCCCCCACACTACCCTTAGGTCTCCCCCTACACTAGCCTTAGGTCTCCCCTCCCACTAGCCTTAGGTCTCCCCCACACTAGCCTTAGGTCTTCCCCAGACTACCCTTAGGTCTCCCGACACACTAGCCTTAGGTCTCCCACACACTACCCTTGGGTCTCCCATACACTACCCTTGGGTCTCTCCATAAGCTTTCTAGAGAACTTCTCTGTTTATTGCCACCAAAAAGGAATGAAAAGTGCCAAGGCTTGCTCAGCAGTGTTTGTCTGGCACATATCCAAACTGTCTTCTAAAACTCTTGTGGGTTTGGCAGATTTTTATTATTATTTTTTTCTTTTTAAGACTTTTGACTCACCTGTTATTTTTAAACTACATTTCTCTCAGTCAATTCAATGTTTTGGTCTCTATTAGATATTTCCCTTCGTAACACCTCTTCTCACCACTGGGCCTATTGGCAGCAGTATGATAGATGATGAAGAGATTCAGATTGTTAACAACTTTAGTTTGCTTGATTCCATAATCAAAACTCTTGGTACCAGCAGCCAGAAAATCAAAAGATGAATTACACTGGGAATGTCTGTTGTCAGGGACCTCTCCAAAGTACTGAAGAGCAATGACGTCACGCAAGAAACTAAAGTGCACCTAATCCAGGCCATACATAGTCTTCACAATTACTTGCTATGTGTCATCGAGAGCTGGAAAAAGACTAAGGATGAAAGAGAATTGATGCCTTTGACCTGTGGTTCTGGAGAAGAGGACTGCCAGGAGAACAAAGTGTTTCATCCTAGAGAGGGTGAAGTCAGCCTGCTCCTTAGAGGCAGGGATTCTGAGGCTTCATGTGACATTCTTTGGGCATGTTGCAAGGAGGGACTGGTCCTTGGAGAGAGACATCATGCTTGGAAGGGTGAAGGGATGGAGAAAAAAACAGAGACCACAGATGAGATGGACTGATATAGGGGTAATGAGGGTAGGCGTGTCAGAGATAGCAAAGTTGGCACAGGACAGAACAGGTTTCAGGGCTGTTGTATGTAGGGTCGTTATGAGTCACAAGCGACTCCACAGCACATAACAACACCTCTCCAGAGTGAAAAGCTAGGATGTCAGTCTAGAGACTTAGGTGTCCCTGATCCAGGCTGTGGTCGTCTCAGTTGCTATGTACCCGAGAGATGGACAATGTAAGGATGGCAGAAGAATTGATGCCTTTGAGTTGAGGTGCTTAAGAAGAGTGAACTGAACATACCATGGACTGCCAAGAAAATTTATAAGTCTTTGCTGGAGAGGGTGAAACCAAGCTGCTTCTTGGAGGCAAGGATATTAAAGTTCTTTCTCACATACTTGGGCATGTAGCCAGAAGGGACCAATCTTTGGAGAAGAATATTATGCTCTGAAGAGTCAAGGGACAGAGCAGAGGAGGAAAACCCTAGATGAGAGGATTAAAACAGCAGCTGAGGTAATAAGGGTGGGTGTGTCAGATACAGTAAGATTGGCTCAGGACTGAGCAAGGTTCAGAGCTATTGTGCATAGGGTCACTGTAAGTCATAGTCACAATAGCACATAACACCACCATCACCTAGCAACACTGTTTATATATTAACCAAAGAAAGTGAAGGAGGGTAAAGCTAGATACTAATACTAATTTGTCATAATCAATTATATCATGGCATTAATTCTGTTGGTTTGGGATCTTAAGACTTATGGGATAATCCAGTCAACTGACATTAATGCCGTTGTTGTTGTTAGGTACTGTCGAGTTGCCTGTAACTGAGAGTAAAACAGCTCTGAAGCCAATCTCACTGACTCCAACACACTTTTACCCTCATTGCCTCAGTTACTGTATCAGTCCATCTCACACGGGTATTCCTCTCTTGTGCTGTGCCTCCACCCTTCCAAGCATGATATCCTTTCTCCAAGGACTGGTCTCTCCTGGCCACATGCCCTAAAGTATGTGAGATAAAGCTTAAAATCCTAGCCTCCAAGAAGAAACCTGGTTTCACCCTCTCTAAGACAGTTCTATTTGTATTCTTGGCAGTCCTAGGTATGTTCAAGACTCTTCTCCAGCACAACTGAAAGGCATCAATTCTTCATCTGTCACCCTTGTCCAGTTCTCTAATGCATAGCAAGTAATTGCAAAGACGACAGCATGGATCAGGCCAGGCATAATACAGTTCTTAAACTTTACGGTCTCCTTCCTAGTATGGAAAGTAGTTATCTAGTATCTTAAAAGCTTATGAGTGCTCAATTAGAATGAATTATTACATTTTAACCACAACTGTAATAAAAAGCTCATTTAAAAAAGAAATAAAAAGCCTGGGTCATAAGAAGCCAAGAATAAGACAGGATCAACTGTCTGCATGAACTACTATAACCACCCTCCTGAGACCAGAACTTGGTGGTGACTGGTTACACATTCTGCTCAGAAATAAAGGGGAGGGGAGAGACAGAGTGTGGGTGCACGTAGACAAGAAAGAGCAAAAGCAAGCACATGCATACCTGTAAAACCAAAGTACAGAGTGCAAAGAACCAAATTGCCCATGGCTATTTTTAAGAACTCCCCAGGACAAACCTATTTGTTCTCTTAGCAGTCCATGGTCTATTCAATGCTCTTCTCCAGCACCACAGCACAAAGGCATCAATTCTCTTTCTATCATCTCGTCATTGTCCAGCTCTCTGATGCATAAGAACTGATTGCAAAGACCATGGCCTGTATCAGGCCATGTATTAGTCTCGAGACTCACATCACTGCTCTTCAGTACTTTGGAAAGGTCTCTGATAGCAGACTTCCCCAATGTAATACGTCATAATTTCCTGGTTGCTGGTTCCAAGAGTGTTGACTGTAGAACCAAGCTGTTTACAATCCCTAGCAATTGTTAGTATTACTCCCTCTTTTCCTAGCAATTGTTAATATTACTCCCTCTTCTACTATGAAGAGCTATGTTAATGTTCTCTGTTAGTGTCCAATTTAAGTAGGAATAGAAAATTTGGTTAGATTTGTCACAATACAATCATATAGGTGAAAGCTATATGCCTCAAGTCAGTAGACTACTGAAAATACCCAAAGTATAAGTGGAAAATCTAAGCACAAGAGAGGAAGACCCTCAATGAGACGGATTGATTCAGTGGCTGGGGTAATTGGCATAGGTGTGTCAGAGACAATAAGATTGGCACAGAATAGAGGAGGGTTTAGGGCTGTTGTACACAGGGTCTCTATGAGTCACAGGCAACCTGATGGCACATAACAACAACAACAAATAAAGATTTCAAAGATGAGGAATGGAGCACTTTCAAGTGTGACAGGCATCCCCCCCCCTTTGGTAAGTAACTGGAGATGTATCTTCAATAAAGAGTCAAAGTTCTCAGCCCACATCACTAAACTCTGGTTACTCCCACATCTAGATTCCACCACACTTACCTATTCTGAGCAGCATAGATACTGGCCAACTTTAAGGAGATTTCTATTATTGCATTGTCTTCCTGTTGGAAGAAAGGAAATGAAGAAAATTCACAAGTAAAATTTCCTCATGGAGTTCTTTCATATCAAAGTCAAACTGAAGTTGACCTCAAAGTCATCATCTTCAGCATTTGAAAAGACTAAACCAAATATGAATTCCTCAACTCACCATACTTTTACACTGAGGAATATTGACAATTTTATAGAGATGCTAGAGAGAAAAGAAAAAAAAATACACTTCTTTTTTCCTTGCTACAGTACAAGTGCAGATTATTTTATTTGAAAAAGGGCTTTTAAGCAAATTTTTAAAATTCTTTAATATCGAAAATGTTTTCTTTTTTCCCCATTGTTGCACATTTTCTTTGCCCTCCCATTCCTCCTCCCCCAGCCCTCCCTGCGATGCACACCTTGTTCCAGATTAGCATATGTATAATGCCTAACCATAGATTCCTTTCAGACAGTGCTTTCCCTCATCTGATCTAATGCAATGTCCATTAACCTATCCACTCTTTTCCCATTCTCTCCCCAATCCCTCCACGGCTATCCTAGTTTATAAGGGTGGTGTTACACAGTATTTGTTCTTTTGTGACTGAGATATATCATTCAGCAGAATGTCCTGCAGACTCCCTCATGCTACGTGTTATCAGTTTACTGTTTTTCAATGATGTGTAACATTCATGTGAACATTATGTGTCCTCGAGTCGCCTGCAACTCACAGTAACCCTATGTACAAAAGCCCTAAACCCTGCCCTATCCCTTGCCAATCTTATTGTCTCTGACATGCCCATCTCCATTACCCCAGTGATGGAATCAATCCATCTAATCGAGGGTCTTCCTCTCCTGTGCTGTCTCTCCACCCTTCCAAGCATGATAGCCCTCTCCAAATGTGAATGTACCATAGTTTTTCTATGCATTCATCTGTTGATGGGCACCTGGGTTGCTTCCATCCTTTACTATTATGAATGTATGGGTGCCCACATATCTGTTTGAATCATGGCTCTGGTTTCTTAAAAGTATATTCCCAGTAGTGGAATTGCTGGGTTAAATGTTATTTCTATTTCCAACTTTTTGAGAAAGTGCCAGACTGCCTTCCATAACGGCTGTACCATTTTCTATTTCCACCAGCAGTGAATAAGAGTTCCCATCACTCCACAACCTGGCCAGCAATTGTTTGGCCTGTTGAGCTATGCTATTACTGCTGGAGTGAGATGGTATTTCATAGTTGTTTTGATTTGCAACTCTCTGATAGCTAGGGATTTCTTTATGTGTTTGCCACCTGACTGTCCTCTTTGGTGAAGTATCTTTTCATATTCTGTAGCTATTTTATGATTGGGTTGTTTACCTTTTTCTTGTTGAGGTGCTAGAATATTCTATAAATTTTAGATGAGTTCCTTATCAGATATATCATTATCAAATACTTTTTCCCAGTCTGTGGGTTTCTTTTTGATATGCACGAGGATTTGATTCTTAGAAGGTCACATTCATCTATTTCATTCTCTCCTGGTTGCAGGTGCAAGAATAGTTTTAAAACTGCTTCAACTAGACCCAACACTAGGTATTGTCCTTACCTGTTTCATGCCCCCTTCAAGCAGGTAACTCATTGTTGCTTTAAAAAGTTTTTCTGCCTAAAACCATAAGAAAATAATTTTTAACCCATACCCTACTATCTCTATAGCCCTAGAATCTAAGTATTAGGCAGTCGAAATATTAAATTTAAAACATATACAAACAGAGAGAAAAATATCCTTATAATATGAAATTAAGATAAATAAACTGGAACCCTACACCCTCTTAACTTTATTCAAGTTGAAACTACCTTCAGAAATTAACTTCTCACCAAAACCCAGCAAACTGCAAACTATCCCCTAACAGTCACTTTTCTTTCTGTCCACTTGCAAAATTCCCTCAATTTTTAGCTGTGATGAAGGTCTGACGAGTAGTGCAGAAAAAGACATTCAAGCAGTTTTTCATTTGATGGAGAAGCTGCTTATCCTCCATTCTTTTTCCTTTCCAACAGTGGACCAGCTCACCATATGGATAAGGACAGATCTCTGAAAATTAATCTGGGCTTCAGGCCACCTCATACAGCAGAGTTTTTCCTACCTGACTCCAGTCTTCTCTTAACTAATGAATCAAAAAGAAGTATACCAATATCCAGTCTGAGTCACCACATTTTGAGGTCTCTTTCTTACAGCAATCTAACCATTCTCCTACTAATACTGTTCTCTGGACTCCTTTACAAATTCAAGTTATCATAAAGTAGTTAACTTACATTTTCAAGCTGACCACGTATGAATGCTAAATTGGCCATCTGAAAAGCAAATTAAAAATCACTTTTCTGTTTAGAACACTACTGCGACATATTTCAGTCACTGAAGACTCCCTTACACAAAAATGATTGAGAGAGAAAGCTTCTTATAAATTAATCTGGTAGAAATTATGAATTACAATAATGTAGAAGTAGATATACCTTGATAATGCTAAATCAACTCTAGGTCTGCATTATTAAAGAAACAAGTGCTACTAATATTTGTTTCTTTAGGATAGAGTATTGGGCCTTGAAAGTGACACCACAGAAAAAGTCAAAACCAAAAGAAATTTCATTAAAACCAAGAGCTTTAAGACATCCTGAACGTCAGGACCACATAAAACAGGAATACTAACAAGCTTTCTCTTTAACCACCATTCACCATAACAAGTTCAAGCTGCTTAGCAGAGTTACCAAATCGTAAGTGTAGGTGATGGCCTTGTGGTTACCACTCTGGTGTGCAAGACGGAGAGCATCATGCAAGATTAGCTCAGCCTCCTCTGGTTCATCCTTCATGATGCTCAACTGAAAAAAACAATAAACAATAGAAAATGAAAAAGATAATGGATATACATGCCCAATACAAAAAAAGGAAACCATCATTCACTCATTCGTCAGATATTCACTGAATTCCTACAGAGGGCGATGTCACCAGGAAACACCCCTTGCAGCTAGGTGGTATTATGACAAAATGTTGGCCAAAAGAAATAGACAGAAAATTTGAGAAATTTTTTATGAGGAAATTGCTTGTCATCCTTCTCTTTATACCTTCTAGTCTGGAAACAAGCCTGCAGGTTATGAACTAATGACCTGCAGGTAGGTCATTAACTAATAAGAATTATAAAGAAAACAATGGAAAAGGCAGATAAGGTGACTCCTACAAGCAGGAAAGTCAGCAAAAGGAGTACAGTTAAGATTATATTTGTTCCCATCCCAAAGAAGGGTGACCCAACTGAGTGTGGAAACTACAGAACAATCTCATTGATTCCACATGCAAGCAAGATTCTACTGAAGATTAACCAAAAACGACTGGAACAGCACATCAACAGAGAACTACCAGAAGTCCAGGCTGGGTTTAGAAGGGGTCGTGGTACTAGGGATATTGTAGCTGATGTTAGATGGATCTTGGCTGAAAGCAGAGAATACCAGAAGAATGTCTATTTGTGTTTCATTGATTATGCAAAGGCATTTGACTGTGTGGATCATAACAAACTGTGGCTGACTCTGAGAAGAATGGGAATCCCAGAACATTTAATCATGCTAATGCAAAACCGATACTTGGACCAAGAGGCAGTCATCAGAACAGAGCAGGGCAACACCACATGGTTCAAAATTGAGAAGGGTGTATGCCAGGGATGTGTCCTATCTCCATACCTTTTCAACCTGTATGCAGAGCAGATTGTCCGAGAGGCTGGGCTCTATGAGGAGAGGTGTGGCATTAGGATTGGTGGACGATCTATCAACAATCTGCGTTATGCAGATGACACAACCCTGCTCACTGAAACTGAGGAGGACCTCATGCACTTTCAAGGACTGCAGCCTTCAGTATGGACTGAGGCTCAATGTCAAGAAGACAAAGATTCTCACCACTGGACCAATTGGTAGCATCATGATGGATGGCGAAGAGATTGAGATTGTTCACAGCTTCAGTTTGCTTCGCTCCACGGTCAACACTCTTGGCACCAGCAGCCAGGAAATCAAAAAACATATTGCGATGGGAAAGTCTGCTGTTAGGGACCTCTCCAAAATACTCAAGAGCAACAGTGTCTCTCTAAAGACTAAGTTGCGCCTGATAAAGGCCATGGTCTTTGCAATCACTTGGTTTTTTTTAAATTTTTTTTTTTATTTTATTATTTTGCGTGTGTGTGTGAGTGTACCGTCAAATCAGATCTGACTGGTACAGGAGGAGATTTTCCCTCCTTCCCCGGCAGAGCATCTGGTAGATTCGAACCATGCGCCTCTGGGATTGTAGTTGCAGCTCCTTACCACTAGGCTGCAATCACTTGTTATGCATCAGAGATGGACAATGACTAGGGAGGATAGAAGGAGCTCAAATGCCTTTGAGCTGTGGTGCTGGAGAAGAGTACTGAATGTTCCATGGACTGCCAAGAAAACAAACAGATCCATCCTAAAGAGGGTTAAACCAGGCTACTCCTTGGAGGCAAGGATTCTGGGACTTTGTCTGACATACTTTGGACATGTTGTAAGGAGAGACAGGTCCTTGGAGAGGGACATCATGCTTGGTAGGGTAGAGGGACAGCTCAGGAGGGGAAGACCCTCTATGAGGCAGATTGATTCAGTGACTGGGGTAATCGGGATGGGTGTGTCAGAGGCAATGCGGTTAGCACAGGATAGAGCAGGGTTTAGGGCTGTTGTACATAGGGTCGCTGAGTTGCAAACGACTCAAAGGCACATAACAACAACAACAACAACAGTTAAGATAAGGTAGAAAGGATAACAATGAGCCAACTGAATCCCAGGAATAAAAGAGAACAATGTCATAACCCAAGAATAAGGAGTGAGTGAAGACTCTATAGAAAAAGATGAACTGTTTAGAATGGGAAGCACGGGTCAGGGGCAGGGAGAGACAGTGGATGTGAAGGGAGAATGCTGGTGAGCTGGGCTCCTTATAGATCAGGCAGGGCTTGCAAGGCAGGCTAAGAAATGGAAAGTTCATGCAAAGAAATTACACAATCTGATTTCTTTTTTTTTAAGGAAAAAAAAAGTCACTGATTATTATATGGAGAATAAATTATAGGAAGCAAAAGAACAGGCAAGACAATAGGAAGAGGAGATGGAGAAGAAGTTGGAAATATTTTGGAGGTAATGACAAGTTTTTTGTTGAGCTTTAAGTATGTGTCTTAGAGGAAGACGGTGAGGTAGCACAAGTCTGATGAGGTGTCTGGGTTGAGAATTTCCACCTGCATTCAGAGGCCATCTCTATAATGTATCTGATGTATCAAATACTTAAGACCAGATGAGTCCATGGGATGTCAAGGATATCACACAGGAAAAAGCAAAAGTTTATTTTATAGAGATAAAAGCCAAAATGGTATCAAAACTCTGAAATTTTTGCTATAATGTAAAAAGATAAAGTGAGAAGAAAAAATGGTGTGAAAATCCTCAACAAACTCTCAAAAAACTATCTGAAAAGATAAAGACAAATATAATCACATGTGCAAAGACTCAGAATTAGGAAACCAAAAAGAATGCTGTTCTGTGCAGTCAAATCACCTGTGATTCACAGAGATCTATGAACATCAGCTCTGAAACCTGCCTTATCCTGAGCCAGTCTGACTGACACACCTACCCCCATTATCCCAGTTACTGTGTTAATCCATCTCATCTGTGTTCTTCCTCTCCCACACTGTCCCTCCACCCTTCCAAATAAGATGTTTGTCTCCAAGAACTGGTCCCTCCTTGGCCATGTGCCAAAGTATGTGAGATGAAGTTTTAAAATCCTTGCCTCCAGGAAGCAGCTTGGTTTCACCCGCTTCAGGAGAGATCTGTTCATTCTCCTGGCAGTCCACGATAAGTTCAACAATCTTCCCCGACACCAGAACTCAAAAGCTTTGATTCTTCTATCATCTTTAGTTACTGTCCAACTCCAGGATAAATAGCAAGTAGGGTGAAGACAATGGCCTGGATCTGGCAAACCTTAGTTTCCAAACTGACATCATTGCTCTTCAGTACTCTAAAGATAAAGATGTCCCTGACAGCAGACTTTCCCAATGTAATTTGCCTTTTGATTTCTTGATTATTGGTGTAAAGAGTGTATCTTGTAAAACTGAGCAAGCTGAAGTTAACAATCTCAATCTTTTCTCCACCCGTCATGAAGCTGCCAACTTGCCCCATGATGAGAATCTGTTTTCTTGATATTGAGCTTCAATCCATATTGAAAACTACAGTCCTTAACCTTCTGCAACAAACATCTCATGTCCCCCTCAGTTTCAGCAAGCAAAGTTGTACCATTTGCGTTAACGTAGGTTGTTGATGAATCTTCCTCCAATCCTGATGCCATATTCTTTCTCATAACGGCCAGCCTCCCAAATGATCTGTTCTGCATATAGATTAAAAAGGCACGGATCTCTGATGCACACCTTTCATGATCTTAAATCATACAGTGTGTCCCTGCTCTGTTCTGACTACTGCTTACTGGTCCAAGTAAGGTTTCAAATGGGCACAATTAAGTGTTCTGGGACCCCAAATCTTCTCAAGGTTAGCCACAATGTGTTGTGATTCACAGTCAAATACCTTTGAATAGTCAATGAAACATGGACATATATACCAAGCATTTTTTAAACCCAAAGGGATGAAGGTGGTGGTGGTGGGGGGGGAATCAAACCTCTAGCTGTAAGGGCGAAAGATTCTATGGTCAAAATATTGAATGACAGTAAAAGACGATGGAAAGAATACACAGAGATACTACACCAAAAAGAGTGTACCTCTGCTAAACCATTTCAGGAAGCATGGGATAAAAAAAGGGGTGGCACTAAAGGAGGACATCCAAGCTGCACTCAAAGTACTGGTGAAAAACAAAGCCCCAGGACCAAGCATCAACCGAAATGTTCCCCAGTCACAGAACTAGGGGTACTCACTGATTATGTGCCAAAAAAAATTGGAAAGCAGCTACCTGGTCAACCTATCAGAAGAGATCCGTATTTGTACCTAATCTAAAGAAAGCTGACTGAAGAGAATGTGGAAATTACTGAATATCATTACTATAACATTCATGTTATAATTTAAAAAAACAAAACCAAAAACTACTGGGTAAAACTCAGGTATCCCTGAATACCATAAAGATGGTTACTTATGCTTTAACTGTGCTGCAATCCTGAAGACACACAGTTCAAATCCACCAGCTGCTCTGCAGGAGAAGGATGGGCAGTCTCCTCCCATGTGATTAACTGACTCTAGAAATCCACGGGAACTCTTCTTTGAGTCCATTCCAACTCAATGGTACAAAACAATAACAATTCACTTTGCAAAGGCACTCAACTGTGTGGATAAGAAAGTAAGAATAACAAAATAAAGATTCCAGAACACTTAATAGTGCCCATGTGTAACCAGTACCAAGAAGCAGTCATGTGACTAGAACAATGGACTACTTCCTGTTTCAACATTAAGAAAAGGCTGGCCTTTCATCATACTTTCTCAACCCATATGCAAAGCAAATAATCTAAGAAGCTGGAGTATATTAAGTATGATATGGGACATCAAGGTTGAAGGAAGACCCATTAGCAATGTGCAATAAGCAGACAATTTTGCAGAAATTTTGCAGAAAACAAAAGAGCTGAACCATCTACTGATGAAAAGTAAAGCCTTTAGTACTGATTACATTTAAGCATAAAGAAAATCTCTTCACAACTGTACCAAAAAATATATATGTGTGTGTGTGTGTGTGTACATATATATATATATATATATATATATATATATATATATATATGATAAAAGATTGACATTATCAAGGATTTTTATTTACCTAGATCCACAAGCCATGCTCACAGAACTAGCAATTAAAACAATCAAATGCTGTGCAAAGGACAACTTTAAAATTAAGGTGCACCTGACCCAATCCATAGTATTTCCAGTAATCTCACACATATTGTTGATGCCGGTGAAAAGAAAACAACATATCACAGACTGCCAAAAAACAAGCTCACCTATCCTGCAAGAAGTCTGGTCAGCGAACACAGTAGATGCAAGAATGTAAGACAGACTTTAGACTTGTTATCAAGAGGGGGTCAATCCCAGAAGGACAGCAAAGAGTCAGTTAAATTTTAAAAAGGGCCCTCAACAAGATGGACTGACAGAGTGGCTGCAACTATGGGCACAGCAACAATCCTGAGGATGGCACAGACTCACTCCGGCAGCGTTGTCTTCTGCTGTCCATGGGTCAGCCACTTGTAAGCACTCAATAAGCAGAGAAACAGGGTAGACTGAAAGATGGTAAAGTAATGGCAGAAGAGGCATGTGTTTAGTGTGGACCATGTTAAGCCCGAGAGGTATTTGTGACCTCAACCCGGAGAGGTCATGTAAGCAGCACGCAGTAACCTAAGCTCAAGAAACTAAAGAACAAATTCAAACCTCAAGTTGCTATAATCAAGGATGCTTTAGGAAGAATATTAAATGATCCAGGAAGTATTAAAAGAAGACTGAAAGAATATACCGAGTCACTGTATCGAAAGGAATTGGCAGACACAGAATTTAATGAAATAACATATGAGCAACAGCCTATGGTGATGAAGGAAGAAGCTCAAGCTGCTTTGAAGGAAATAACAAAAAACAGGCCCCAGGAATAGATGGTATACCAATTGACGTATTTCGGCTAACAGATGCTGCCCTGGATGTGCTCACCAAATTGTGCCAAGAAACCTGGAGAACAAACACTTGGCCAACTGACTGGAAGAGATCTATATTTGTTCCCATTCCAAAGAAGGGTGACCCAAAAGAATGCTGAAACTATAGAACAATCTCACTGATTTCACATGCAAACAAGATTCTACGGAAGATTATCCAAAAACGACTAGAACAGCACATCAGTAGAGAACTACCAGAAGTCCAGGCTGGATTTAGAAGGGGTTGTGGTACTAGAGATATTGTAGCTGATGTTAGATGGATCTTGGCTGAAAGCAGAGAATACCAGAGGAATGTCTATCTGTGTTTCATTGACTATGCAAAGGCATTTGACTGTGTAGATCATAACAAACTATGGCTGACTCTGAGAAGAATGGGAATCCCAGAACACTTGATTGTTCTAATGCGAAACTTATACTTGGACCGGGAGGCAGTCGTCAGAACAGAGCAAGGGAACACTGCATGGTTCAAAATTGGGAAGGGCGTATGCCAGGGATGTGTCCTATCTCCATACTTTTCAACCTGCATGCAGAACAGATTATCCAAGAGGCTGGGCTCTATGAGAAGTGTGGTGTCAGGATTGGTGGAAGATCTATTAACAATCTGCGTTATGCAGATGACACAACCCTGCTTGCTGAAACTGAGGAGGACCTGATGCACTTGCTGCAGAGAGTCAAGGACTGCAGCCTTCAGTATGGATTGAGGCTCAATGTCAAGAAGACAAAGATTCTCACCACTGGACCAATTGGCAGCATAAGGATGGATGGTGAAGAGATTGAGATTGTTAACTACTTTAGTTTGCTTGGCTCCACAGTCAACACTCTTGGCACCAGCAGCCAGGAAATCAAGAAACGTATTGCGATGGGAAAGTCTGCTGTTAGGGACCTCTCCAGGGTACTGAAGAGCAATGGTGTCACTTTGGAGACTAAGGTGCATCTGATACAGGCTATGGTCTTTGCATCAGAGAGCTGGACAAAGACTAGGGAGGACAGAAGGAGAATGGATGCTTTTGAGCCGTGGTGCTGGAGAAGAGTACTGAATGTACCATGGACTGCCAGGAAAACAAACAGATTCATCCTGGAGAGGGTTAAACCAGGCTGCTCCTTGGAAGCAAGGATTCTGGGGCTTCGTCTGACATACTTTGGACATGTTGTAAGGAGGGACAGGTCCTTGGGGAGGGACATCATGCTTGGTAGGGTGGAGGGATGGCGCAGGAGGGGAAGACCCTCTATGAGGTGGATTGATTCAGTGACTGGAGTAATCGGGATGGGTGTGTCAGAGGCAGTGCGACTGGCACAGGACAGAGCAGAGTTTAGGGCTGTTGTATATAGGGTCGCTATGAATCGCAAGGGACTCGACGGCACATAACAACAACAGTTGTTACCCAGACAGTACACTTAGCCCCATTTAAGAAAAGACGAGGAGGGCAAAGAGAAATAAATAAGTGGGCACAAAGGATTCACAGAAGAGAATTAAAGCGCAGGCAAATGTAAATTCTGTTTTCCAGAATTCTTTATGCCAGTTCTTTCAGCATGCACAGCTAGCTGGCCAAATCGCCACCACAAAATACTACCGATACTCTGGGATAGATCTAAGATGCCTGCGATGATGCCCCACTCATCTGCACTGAAACTGCGGCACTTACGGGGGGCTGTGGGGGCCTAAGACCCAATTTATGACCCATCTAATTCCAGGTATCTCCGCTCTCCACCTACTCCATACACAGGAGAGTGCGGGGCACTCGAGGCCCGGGCTCTGAGCGGAGCGCGCACAGCGCACTCACCTTGGCTCGCTTCAACAGCTCAATGATCTCGGCCTCCGTCGCCTCGGACGCGTCCTGTGTAGAGGACTCACCCGCTCGCTGCTTCTCCTCCCCGGCAGCAGCGGGCTTCGAGAACCAGGAGAGGGCTGAGGGAAAGAGCAGAGGTCACTGCGCCAGCCCGCCCGCCGCCCGCCGCCCGCCAGCCGCCCGGCCAGAGCCTCTCACCTGCCACCAGCGGTAGCAGGCCCGGCCGGCAACGCCGCACAAGCCAGGAGGAGGGCCCGTCCACGGCCCGGCCGCCCGCGGGCCCTGGGAGCAGGCGCACCGCGCAGCGCCAGCACGGACGCCCGGCAGCCCGCAGAAGGCCTGCGGCCAGCACTGTGCGTAGGAACCAACACATGGTTCCTTCGAGTCCTCCGCCCGCTGTGAGGGCTCCAGTACACCTTCCCTGCGCCCGCCCTACCAGAGGCGTGATAGCCACAGCGTGCGCCATGACGCACAAAGACATCATCTCCCACCCCGCCCCCAGCCCGCCACCTGCATGCGCAATGACGCACGCAACGTCACCCCCCTCGCTCCGCCCCCGGCCCGCTACATCTCTTGCCACCCGCATGCTCCATGACGCACGCCGACGTCACCCCGTCGCCCCGTCCCGGCGTGCTGTGCAGCGCTATGGCGGTCACTTTACCCGCGGTGGTGGAGGAACTCCTGAATGACATGGCAGCGGCGGTCCGCGAGAGCACGCGAAGTACGGCCAGTGTCAGGGTTCTGCCGGTCGGGGCGAGAGGCTGAGGCTTGAGGGATGCTGGGGGCGGGACCCGGGCTTTGTTCATTTCCGCGTCTGTCTCTGAGGCTTGGGTTGTATTTTTTAAGAAAACCAAGAAATCTGAGCAAGTCACTGTCACATCTGTCTAGAGTGTTCGGACCACATGGTTGCTGGCCTTCTGTCCACTGAGCTGGAAGCCGTGATGACCACTATTGGGAATTGAAAGTGGGAACCATTAACCTGCCGCCTGGTTTTCTCAGATTAAATCTGTTTGCTCTGAAAGTATTTTAGGAGCACAGAATCAAGAAAGAGGTCCAATGCTAAAAACTGAGTAGGTGAATCGCTTTTCCCTACCGGCAGAGGACGCTGTAATGCTTGTCAGAATAACTGCACCATGCTTAGTCTGAAAAGACACCTCCAGTGTTTCAGTTAGAACTTTAGTCTTCAGAAGTAAAGATTCTATTTTATTAAGATTGTGTTTATAAAATACAATAACGTTTGGCCTCAAAACTGGATCGATCCTGCATTTCTTAACTGCTTTGAAAGAACTAAGTACGCCAATTTGTGTTTTCTCCTTTAAGGCAAAGCCATTAGGGAGGGAGCTTACGGGGAATCTATCGTAGGGGTCTCAGAGTTTGGTGGGCAGAAGGAGAGGGTGAAGGAATTCAGAACAATCCAGTGGGAATCTGAAAAGACCAGGTAATAGTGGCAGAGACCAATGGTGATTAATTTTATAAAACACAGTGTGAATAAAACATTTTTTTTTAATATAAAAAGAAACCCGTTAGGCCTGCTATGAGTGATTATAGGAAAAGCATTGTACCCTCAGTTAGACACCTTTGGATGGAATGCCATCAGTTATGTCAAACTATGTTTGAATATGTAGTCTGTGTATTGTCCCTCTTAAAAAGGGTCATCCTGACACTGGTGACTCCTGCCATTGATGGGCATTTCTTTTCAACAGAATAAGGTTTTCCTATTTCAGTCTTGGTTCTTGACAACTGCTCACCTTCCTACCTGCATGGCACAATGAGTTTGGTCAGAATAGAGCTTTCAGCTGCTGATTTTTTTTTTTAAACTTAGGTCGCGGCACTTTCTTTTAAGGCACTTCTGAGCTGATTCAAGCCTCAAGCTTTTACATTAACCAAGTTAATCAAGTAAATCAGCCATTTGTACCACTATGGTATAACGGGGTCCTTTAAGAGGCCTTTTGCCCTGTTCTTTGGACAAATTGTTGGTTTTCACACTCTAGATCCTAAAGAATTGTTACAGCACTGGAAATCCTACAGGGCATTTTTACTTTATTCTACAGGGTGTATGTATATTCAGATTGGCTCAGTGGCAGAGGCTTCAGGTTTCTCTGGCCTTTTAGTAGGTATCATTGAGTTGACCACAAGTGATAGTGACCCTGTGAACAGATGAGACCTTCCCCTGTCCTGTATTGTTGCTACAGTGTTCCTCATACTGTCTATTGTTGTAGTCATCGTGTCAGTTTCACTGAGGGTCTTCCTCTCTTTTGCAACCCTATTCCCAGCCTGATGATGTCTTTTTCATCCTGACAACCTGCCTAAAGGATGTGAGACCAAGTTTCATCATCATTTCTTTTAAGAAGCACCCCAGTTGTACAAGACAGATCTGTAGGTTCTTTTGGCAGTCCATGGAATAGTTAATATTCTGTACCACCACTACAATTCAAAGGTTGTTTTATACACTGTCCTGTTTTCATATATTGTTGAATGCGATCAAGTCAGAACTGACTCATAGTTGACCCTCCAGTGGGTTTTTGGAGGAAGTAAATCACACAGGATGAGGTTGCCCATCCTCCCACAGAGCAGCTGGTGGATTTGAACTGTGTGCCTTTGGGGTTGCAATGCAGCCTCTTTCCACTAGGCCACCAGAGCTTTTCACATGCGTATAAAACAATGATAAATACCATGGCTTTGGGCAGGTACACCTTAGTCTTTAATCTGGCATCCTTGCTCTTTAGCAGTGTGTGTTGTTGTGTGCTGTAGAGTCGAAACCAATCCATAGCTGACCCTCTGGCAGGTTTTCAGAGATAGTTAATCGCATGGGAGAGGAGATTGCCCAGCCTCCTCCCATTGAGCAGCTGATGGCTGCAAATCATGTGCCTTCGGGATTGTAGCTCAGCTTCTTGCCACTAGGCCACCAGAGTTCCCTATAGCAGTATATAGAGGTTCTTAATATCACATGAAGCAAGATTCTGCTGAAAATTATCCAAAAACAACTGAAACAGTGTGTCAACAGTATGTCATCAGAAGTGCAAGCTGGATTTAGAAGAGGTCATGGTACTAGGGATATTATAGCTAATGTTAGATGGATCTTGGCAGAGAGCAGAGAATACCAGAAGAATGTCTATCTGTGCTTCATTGGCTTTGCAAAGGCTTTTGACTGTGTGGATCACAACAAGCTATGACTGACTCTGAGAAGAATGGGAATCCCTGATCATTTGATTGTGTTTATGCAAAACCTGTATTTGGACCAAGACACAGTCGTCAAAACAGAGCAAGGAGACAGTGGATGGTTCAAAACCAAGAAGGGGATCTGTCAGGGATGTATTCTGTCTCCATACTTTTTCAATCTGTATGCAGAACTGATAATCGAGGACACTGGGCTGTATGAGGAGGAATGTGGCATCAGGATTGGTGGAAGAGTCATCAACAACCTACATTAAGCACATGACACAACCCTGCTTGCTGAAACTGAGGAGGACCTGAAGCAGTTAATGTAGAAGGAGGTCAAGGATTGCAGCCTTCAATATAGATTGAAGCTCACCATCAAGAAAACAAAGATTCTCACCGCTGGACCATTGGCAGCATCAGTGTGGATGGTGACGAGATTGAGATAGTTAACAATTTTAGTTTGTTTAGCTCCAGAGTCAACACTCTTGGTACAAGCAGCCAGGAAATCAAGAGACGAATTGCATTAGGAAAGTCAGCTGTCAGGGACCCCTCCAGAGTACTGAAGAGCAACTGCATCAGGCTGGAGACTAAGGCGCACCTGATCTGGGCTATAGTCTTCACAGTTGAGTGCTATGCATTGTAGAGTTGGACATTGACTAGGGATGATAGAAGGAGAATTGATGCCTTTGAGCTGTGGTGCTGGAGAAGAGTGTTGAATATACAATGGACTGCTAGGAGAACAAACTGGTTTGTCTTGAAGAGAGTATAGCCGGAATGCTTCTTGGAGGCAAGGATTCTGAAGCTTTGTCTGACATACTTTGGGCATGTTGCAAGGAGGGACCAGTCCTTGGAGAGGGACAGCATGTTTGGGAGAGTGGAGGAACAACGAGGAGAGGAAGACCTGCGATGAGATGGATCAGTTCTCTGATTGGGGTGGTGGGAGTGTTTCTGAGATGGTGACATTGGCACAGGATAGAGAAGTGTTTAGGGCTCTTGTACATAGGGTCACTATGAGTCGTAATTGACTCAATGGCACATAACAACAACACAACAACTGCTATATCAGTATTGATTGTGGATCAAAGTAAAATTTATGTCTATCTTCCTTTTCTCCATCTTTCATGAGGCCTATTAGTCCTGTTCTGGTGATTTTTGGCTTCTTGGTGTTGCAATGTAATCCATACTGAGGGTCTGTGATCTTCCATTTTGTCTGATCTGATAATTAAGAACTCTTGGTTAGAATGTCAACTCATTCGTAATTGAGAATTAATTGAGATATCTGTTGATGAAGGCCTTGCTTTGTAACTGTTGGTATTGGGCTAAACAAATGGCTGAAACCTTAATGGCCTCCTGGTTGAAAGAGAGATGCTGGCTAAGAGCTGTACTGGTGGAGGAGAGCCACATAGGAATCAAGTGGTCCAGAAGCTGTTATAGTGGCTGTGAGCTGGATCATTTGGTAATAGTGCTGAGAGCCCTAATGTCAGAGAGCAGCTGGGAGAACTGAGCAGATGCCTATAGTGACTGTGAACTGGCCAGTGAGCATCATTTACCATTATCCCAGGAATTCTATTTATCTATGGATGTGCTCACCAAATTATGCCAAGAAATCTGGAGAACGACCACTTGGCCAACTGACTGGAGGAGATCAATATTTGTTCCTATCCCAAAGAAAGGTGACCCAACAGAATGTGGAAACTACAGAACAATCTCACTGATTTCACATGCAAGCAAGATTTTACTGAAGATTATCCAAAAACGACTGGAACAGCACATCAACAGAGAACTACCAGAAGTCCAGGCTGGGTTTAGAAGGGGTCGTGGTACTAGAGATATTGTAGCTGATGTTAGATGGATCTTGGCTGAAAGCAGGGAATACCAGAGGAATGTCTATCTGTGTTTCATTAACTATGCAAAGGCATTTGACTGTGTAGATCATAACAAACTATGGCTGACTCTGAGAAGAATAGGAATCCCAGAACACTTGATCGTTCTAATGCGAAACTTATACTTGGACCAGGAGGCAGTCGTCAGAACAGAGCAAGTGAACACTGCATGGTTCAAAATTGGGAAGGGTGTACACCAGGGATGCATCCTATCTCCATACCTTTTCAACCTATATGCAGAACAGATTATCCGGGAGGCTGGGCTCTATGAGGAGAAATGTGGGGTCAAGATTGGTGGACGATTTATCAACAATCTGCGTTATGCGGATGACACAACCCTGTTTGCTGAAATGGAAGAGGACCTGAAGCGCCTGCTACAGAGTGTCAAGGACTGCAGCCTACAATATGGATTGAGGCTCAATGTCAAGAAGAAAAAGATTCTCACCACTGGACCAATTGGCAGCATCAGGATGGATGGTGAAGAGATTGAGATTGTACACAGCTTTAGTTTGCTTGGCTCCATAGTCAACAGTCTTGGCACCAGCAGCCAGGAAATTAAAAGGCGCATTGCCATGGGAAAGTCTGCTGTTAGGGACCTCTCCAAAGTGCTGAAGAGCAGTGGTGTCTCTTTGGAGACTTAGGTGCGTCTGATACAGGCCATGGTCTTCACAATCACTTGTTATGCATCAGAGAGTTGGACAATGACCAGGGAGGATAGAAGGAGAATTGATGCCTTTGAGCTGTGGTGCTGGAGAAGAGTATTGAGAATACCATGGACTGCTAGGAAAACAAACAGATTTGTCCTGGAAAGGGTTAAACCGGGTGGCTCCTTTGAGGCAAGGATTCTGAGGTTCCGTCTAACATACTTTGGACATGTTGTGAGGAGAGACCGGTCCTTAGAGAGGGACATCATGCTTGGGAGGGTGGAGGGACGGCGCAGGAGAGGAAGGCCCTCTATGAGGTGGATTGATTCAGTGACTGGGATAATTGGGATGGGAGTGTCAGAGACACTGCGATTGGCACAGGACAGAGTGGAGTTTAGGGCTGTTGTACATAGGGTCGCTATGAGTCACAGGCGACTCGACGGCACATAACAACAACAACATAAAGGGCTTAATGTTTGTTGTATTCCAGTTTGTTGTTTTGGTTTGCTTCTTTATTTTGTGGAGCACATGCTCTAGCAGCCAGAAGAAAGGTGGTACTCTATGAGGCTTTGCATGTCTGAAAAGTCGTCTTCCTTCCTTGATTTGGTAGGTGATAGTTTGACTAAAGAGGAGCTCTTTCATCAAGACACTTGAAAATATTCATCTCCCACTGTCTACCTACTAATGTTGGGTCTGAAAAAATCCGAAGCCACTTTGCCCCTGACTTTGTGTGTGACCCATCCTTTCTCTGGAAATCTGAATTAACTTTCTAGGTGTCCAGTGCTCCAGATTTGCATGATGATGTTCTTGAGTGTGAAGTTTGTTTTGCAAAATGGGATTAAATTATTTCATTGATGAGTGTCCTGGTCCTATTTCCTTTCTGCCATTATTGCTGTTCGTTACCTTCTCTTCTAAATTTCAGCTACTGTTTTTCTCTCCTTTCTAGAAAATTTCTTTATCTTTACTTTCCAATTTTTCTCTTGAATTATCATTTCTAGCTGCTTCATAGAAGTAAGATGAAGCAGTCTGCTTCCATAAATACTTACAGCCTTCGAGATGGCAATTCTACTCTGTCCTTATGGCCACTTGCTTTCAGATCAGCTCTACAGTGATGAATGTCTTTGTTTTATTTGTTTCAATTTATAGTCTTTTTCCCGAAAATTCCTTTTTAATTTTGTAGGACTAGGATAAGAGAGAGAGAACTCCCCATACTGGACAGTGAGACTTGAAGGAAACTGGAGCAAGACCCTGGTGGTGGTGGTGGTGGTGGTGAAACTGTGGCACTGCTATGGATAAATGGTGGCAGGGTGGAACCAGAGGAGCCCGGACATAAAGGCCACAGTTAAAGGTTTTGCTCTTCTTCCTGATGCTTGAAGGAGAAGATGACTTATAACTGCTCTGAGGCAAACCTTGTTGAGTGATTCAGGGAACCAGAGGCTACTTGAATTTGTGTTGCTGAACTGAACCAGAGCCTGGACTAAGTGGGGAATTGTGCCTTGGGACTGTTTGTCTAAAACCTGGACTTGCATTGGGTGATGATATCCTTTACTTGCCCTACTCTCCACTCTCAGTACCACAAATGTGAGTAAAGTCAGCAGCTAATAAATGAACCTCCTGTTACTGGTGTGACTCTAGAGGCACCATAGAGCTGGGCTATAGGCTCTTTATCTACTTTCTGCTCTGGGGCAGTAAGGAACTTACTGTTCTCACTCCTTCTGGCCCTTTCAGAAAATGTAACTAAGGGCCTTGTGTCCTCATGTCGCATTCTCTGCTCTTTAGACAATCTCAGGACATTTTGTCAGAAGAGGCCAGTCCTTAAAAAAGATATCTTGTTGGGAAAGGCAGAGGGTCAATGAAAGAGGAAACCCTCCAATGAGTGGGTTGGCACAGTGACTACAACAATGGTGTTGAGATGACTTGTGATGGGGCAGGATTCAGATGGGTTGTTTATAAGGTCTCTGTGAATCCTGGTTAACTCAATGATGTCTAACTCATCCCGTGTTCCATACCTGTTTTTTGCCATCAACTTCAGAGATTTGTTTGGCTTTTTATTTTTAATAAGGTAAGAGAGGTTCTGGAGTATAAATCAGGTTGATTCTTGGCTCTTTTACAGCTTAAGTAGAATTTGGTTTCTTCAGGTCTGGTCAAGTATTTTCCACTCTTCTATTGTTTTCTCATACCTTTAAAAAAAAACCCTCTTTTTTAAATTAATTTCTTTTTCATTTCAATGAACATCTGCAGAGATTTTGGAATTTCATTCATTCTTGTAAAAAACCCTCTTTTTATTATTGTTTGGAGTTGGGGAGGAAAGTGCAATTAGATGCATAGGTTTCATTTACTACCTTATACAGGTTTAACTTGATTAACTTTTTGCCATTTTTGTTTTGCAGTTTCTGATGAGCATCTGTTATCGTAAGTCATAGTATGCTGTATTTGGGGTTTGGGGTTTTTTTTCTTCCCATCATTGTGTTTTAAGAGCCTAATCCTTTCAATATCAACTCTTACTTTTTAAAAATATTCCTATTAAATCGAGAATAATATTTTCTTTATGTGATAATTAAAAATTTGTCTCAAGTGAAGAGTGGAAGGCATTTTCATATTGTCCTGTTTGCCATTCTTGCTTAATATTATGCTGGAAGTTGTAGCTGCTACACTAAAACATGAAAGGAAGGTTAACGGTTACTTACCTACAAGAAAAGACATTTATCATTATTTGCAGGTGTTCTACTTAAGAAAAGCAAAATGAATATAATCAAATTGGCGGTTTTTTAAAAGGCAGAAATTAAAGATAATTTTATTTCATACAACAAAATTTAAAAATATAATTACATCCTCAATAACAACTAAAACTCATGCTAGGAAAGATGGAAGGTCAGTGAAGGAGAAGATGACCCCCAACAAGATGGATTGACTCAGTGTCTGTAACATTGAGCTCTAGTGTCTTAGAGATGATGAGGATGGCACAGGATAGGGCAGGTTTCAAGTTGGCTGGTCATAGAGTCACTATGAGTTTTACTCAACTGAGTGATAGCTAGCAACAATAGGAATATATAACATGGAAGCAAAAAATGCTGGCAAGATTGTGGAGAAACTGAAACCCTTATTCACTATTGGTGGAAGTGTAAAATGGTGCAACCACTGTGGAAGGCAGTATGGTGCTTTTTCAAAAAGTTGCAAATGGAGATACCATTTGACCCAGCAATTCCACTACTGGGAATATACCCCAAAGAGACCATAACTGACATCCAAGAAGATATATGCGCACTCATGTTTATCACAGCTTTGTTCGCAATAGCAAGGAGTTGGAAACAACCTAAGTGCCCATCAACAAACAAATGAATAGAGAAGCTCTGGTATATTCACACAATGGAATATTATGCTGCATTGAAAAACAAGGAACTCATGCAATATTATTCAAAATGGGTGACCCTGGAGGACATTATGCTGAGTGAAATATCTCAGTTGCAAAAGGACAAATACTTCATGGTGCCACTGTTGTAAAACAGGACTGACATAGGGGTTGGGGGGAGACTGAGATGGGTTAAATATGTATACTGCATTGAAACAGATGAGGGAGAAAACTTTTTTTTTAACTGTACCAACAAAAAAATACGGAACGCTTCACGAATTTGCGTGTCATCCTTGCACAGGGGCCATGCTAATCTTCTCTGTATCGTTCCAATTTTAGTATATGTGCTGCCGAAGCGAGCATGGGAGAAAACTTTTTAAAAGGGGTATGTGATTAGGTATTTTTGTCATGACAGGAGTCCAAAGTGAAGGCTGCATAATGGAGTGGACCTGGGGGCAGGGATTTTAAAACAATGAAAAAATTATTCTTTTACTTTTCTAAGAGGGGAGTGTACTGGAGGTGAATGTTGGGAGGGGAGAAAAGTGCAACAATGAATGAATGGAAATCCAGAGTCTGTGAATTTCCATTGAAATTAATAATAAAAAATTTTTTAAAAAATATATATATAACATGTAATTGCTTATATATAAACTTGTATTTAGAAAGATATGTACTAACAAGATTCTGCTGAAGGTTATCCAAAAACATCCAGAACAGCACATCAGCAGAGAACTGCCTGAAGTGCAGGCTGGATTTAGAAGGGGTTGTGGTACTAAGGATACTACAGGTAATGTCAGATGGATTTTGGCTGAAAGCAGGGAGACCAAAGGAATGTCTTTCTGTGTTTGATTGACTATGCAAAGGCATTTGACTGTGTGGATCATGACAAACTGTGGCTGACTTTGAGAAGAAAGGAAATCCTAGAACACATGATTGCGCTTATGCGAAACCTATACTTAGACCAGGAGGCAATTGTCAGAACAGAGCAAGGAAACACTGCATGGTTCAAAATTGGGAAGGGTGTGTGTCAAGGATGTATCCTGTCTCCATATCTTTTCCGTCTATATGTGAAACAGATTATCTGGGAGACTGGGCTCTATGAGAAGTGTCGCATCAGGATTGCGTTATGCAGATGACACAACCCTGCTTGCTGAAACTGAGTAGGCCCTGAAGCGCTTGCTACAGAAGGTCAAAGACTGAAACTGAGGAGGACTGAAGCGCTTGCTGCAGAAGGTCAAGGACTGCAGCCTTCAATATGGATTGAGGCTGAATATCAAGAAAACAAAGATTCTTACTACTGGGTTGATTGGCAGCATCATGATAAATGAATGATGAAGAGATTATTGACAGCTTCAGTTTGCTTGGATCTACAATCAACACTCTTGGTACCAGCAGCCAGGAAATTAACGAATTGTATTGGGAAGGTCTGCTTGTCAGAGACCTCTCCAAAGTACTGAAGAGCAACAGTGTCAATCTGGAGACTATGGTGTGCCTAATACAGGTCACGGTCTTTGCAATTACTTGCTATGTTGCTATGCATCAGAGACCTGGACAATGAAGGAGAGTTGATGCCTTTGAGCTGTGGTGCTGGAGAAGAGGATTAAATATACCAGGGACTGCCAGGAAAACAAACAAGTTCATCTGAGAGAGGGTGAAGCCAGGCTGCTCCTTGGAGACAAGGAATCTGAAGCTTCGTCTGACATATTTTGGACATGTTGCAAGGCGGGATCAGTCCTTGGCGAGGGATGTAGAATTTGGTTTCTTGGGAGGATGGAGGGACAGTGCAGGAGAGGAAGACCATCAATGAGATGGATTGATTCAGTCACTGGGTTAACAGGGCTAGGCATGTTGGAGACAATAAGATTGGCAGAGGATAGAGCAGGGTTTAGGGTTGCCACTGTGCGTCACAGGCGACTTGATGGCATATAACAACAACAACATACTAGTGGCTATTTTAGGTGGATGGAAGGGAGGTAGAATTTCAAGAAATGTTCTAGTCTTTCCTCAATTTGCGAGATCTTTATAAGGATTGCATTTTATTTTAAAAATTAAAACTTTAAAAACAAAATCCTCAACTCTTAATCACCAAAACCTGTGACGCCAAAGCTAAATCTTCTGTGCATTCCTACAGTGCTTGCAAAAACAGTGTTGAAACAATTTGAGGCCTTGCTCTACACCATCCATGGAGCAATGTTACAGAAATTTCAGACAACTGGGGATAAAAAAAGAAAAATAAATAAATCTTATGGGTAAAGAAAGAAAAAGAAAAAATCTTACTAGCAAGTATAAAAATTAAAATAATAAAAACTTTTCAGCTGTAAAACTGACGGCAACACAAAAAGATAATTAAAACTATTGGAATTAGTATGGGCCAGATCACTGATCACTTCTGTAGAAATGTAAATTGACAGACAGCAGTGGTACTGTGCCACTGAGTCAGGTCCCCCTCTTCGGGAGGATAGAGCAGAGAAAACTGCCCCACAGAATTTCACCTTTTTTCTGATCTTTTTCCTCCTGTGGAGTACCTAGTGGTCTTGGACTGCTGGCTGTGTAGGTAACACCTGAGCACATAAGCGTTGTATAACCAGGCAATGGGAGCTTTAAACATATTGGTTGTGACTCCTAGCGACCCTGTGTACAAGAGCCCTAACCCCTACTCTATGCTGTGTCAACCTCACCGTCTCTGACACACCTACTCCCACTACCCCAATCACTGAATCGATCCATCTCATTGAGGGCCTTCCTCTCCTGCTCTGTCCCTCCACTCTCCCAAACATGATGTCCCTCTTCAAGGACCAGTCCATCATTGCAACATGTCCAAAGTATGTCAGACAAAGCTTCAGAATCCTTGCCTCCAAGGAGCAGCGTTACTTACCGTCTCCAGGATGAACTTACTCTCCTAGCAGTCCATGGTATATTTAGTACTTTTCTCCAGCACCACAACTCAAAGGCATCAATTCGCCTTCTGTTATCCCTAGTCATTGTCCATCTTTCTGATGCATAGCAAGTAATTGAAAGAACTATTGCTTGGATTAGGTGCACCTTATTCTCCATACTGACACCATTGCTCTTCAGTACTATTCTATAGTTAAAGAAATAGATGTGTGTGTGTCAACATACATCATTTAAAAAAAAATTGAAGTAATTAAGTTGCCAAAAAGAAGCCTGTTTCTTAGAAAACATATTTTTTAAGTGCAAATACGTACATGTGTTGTTGTTGTTGTTGTTGTTGTTGTTGTTCTGTGCCGTCGAGTTGCCTGCAACTCATAGCAACCCTATGTACAACAGCCCTAAACTCTGCTCTGTCCTGTGCCAATCGTACTGTCTCCGATACACCCATCCTGATTACCCCAGTCACTGAATCAATCCACCTCATAGAGGGCCTTCCCCTCCTGTGCTGTCCCTTCACCCTACCAAGCATGTTAGTAGCTCTGGATGAGGAGCTGTGCTGCCAACTCAAAAGGCAAGTAATTCAAATCCACCAGTAGGTCCAAGGGAGAAGGATGGGCAGTCTCCTTCCCCTGAAATTCAGAGCTTCTGAAAACCCACTAGAGGGTTAGCTATACCTACTAGAGGGTCCGTTCTGACTTGACATCTCTTCACAACCACCAGAAAGAAGGAGGGAGGAGATGAGGTAGTATGAAAGCACATGGAAGTGCACGAGAAGTAGCTTGTGGATTCAAATTGCATGCCTTTGCTTTGGCAGTGAGCTCCTTACCAGTAGGCCACCAGAGCTCCCTAATGGGATTAATATTCTCAAAGCAGGTACAGTGTTTTGGGGTTTCTTAAAATGCTAAAAATGATGATCCTTATGACAAGTCAGTTGAGGTAACTCTGTGAATCTAATCTAAAACTTTTGTTTTTTCCAGCCTCAAGTTTCTCTTTGGCTCCTCAGCCATCCAGGCCTTGGACCTCGTTGATCGACAGTCCATTACCTTGATCTCATCTCCCAGTGGGAGGCGTGTGTACCAGGTAGAAGTCTGGATTTGAAATAGACCTCCATAGAAATTCCTTAGAATATGTTCCTACGAGTTTGTGGAAACCAAAGACCAGCTTTAAGTATCCTTTGAACTATTGAAAAGCATTTGCCCAATTTAGTTAGATCAACATATTAATATTTAAAATAAGATAAATGTTATTTATTAACTTTATCTAGTAGTGTTCATAGTTTTTATGCTTTAGTTTGCTTGGCTCCACAATCAACACTCTTGGCACCAGTAGCCAGGAAATGAAAAGACGTATTGCGATGGGAAAGTCTGCTGTTAGGGACCTCTCCAAAGTGCTGGAGAGCAGTGGTGTCACTCTGGAGACTAAGGTGCACCTGATACAGGCCATGGTCTTTGCAATCACTTGTTATGCATTAGAGAGTTGGACAATGACTAGGGAGGATAGAAGGAGAATTGATACCTTCGAGCTGTGGTGCTGGAGAAGAGTATTGAATGTACCATGGACTGCTAAGAAAACAAACAGATTCATCCTGGAGAGGGTTAAACCAGGCTGCTCCTTGGAGGCAAGGATTCTAAGGCTCCGTCTAACATACTTTGGACATGTTGCAAGGAGAGACCAATCCTTGGAGAGGGACATCATGCTTGGGAGGGTGGAGGGACAGTGCAGGAGGGGAAGACCCTCTATGAGGTGGATTGATTCAGTGACTGGGGTAATCGGGATGGGTGTGTCAGACAGTGTGATTGACACAGAACAGAGCAGAGTTTAGGGCTGTTGTACATTGGGTCACTGAGTTGCAAGCAACTCGACAGCACATAACAACACTAGCGTTGTTGTTGTTGTATACTGTAGAGTTGGAACTGACTCATGACAGTTGATCACATGGGAAGAGATTGCCCATCTTTCTCCCTCAGAGCAGCTGGTGGCCTCGAAGCGCATGCCTTCAGGGTTATAGGCCACCAGATCTCCCTAGTAGCATTTTATATAGCTAGAAATAATGAGGAGGGCCTCTCTTTCAAGTCTACTGAAATTTAGCTTTTCTGATATAGATGTGTTTCTCTCCACCCCCAATGAATTTCTTGACATCTTTCTTAGTGTTTCAAGTTACTGTCCAAAAGTACTTATTAAAAAGTCAGACTATGTTAAATGCAGGTGGTCTACAGGGACCTTAATTTTGCCCTTAGAAATAGTTTGTAAAGTAATTTCTTTATAGACTCTGAAGTCTTTTTTTACACCTAATACCTGGGATTTATAGGTGCTGTAACATACTGTCTGTGACAGTTTTAGACGAGTAAAGACTGTATAAATAGTGGGCCCTACTTCTGCCCCTCTCCCTCGTCCCTTCCCAAGTTTAGCTATATGAGACAGTGCTTAGTAGAGTTGGGATTGAGAGAAAAACTTTTGAGTAAAATGAATAAAACAGTGGTCTTCTGCCGTAATGAAGTACTTACTTAATACAGTCTTTGAGCTGTCACCATATGACTCAGTGGGCTGTATGAACGAGGTGCTAACACTTAGTATGTCCTGTGTCCTTCAGAATAGGTGTCAATTTGGCTGGGTCCTGACTCTCTGGGGTGGGGCAGTTACACAATGATGTCATCCAACTTCACTATACTCTTCTATGAGGTGTTATAAATCCTGATCTCTGTCTGCTAATGAGGTAGGATTATTGTTGTTATTGTTCGGTGCCCTCAAGTATGACCCTGTGAACAACAGACGTAACCCCTGTCCTATCCAGGGCCATCCCCGTCATCTTTATGTACTCGAGCCCATTGCACCAGTCACTGTGTCAGTCCATCTCATTGTAGTCATATTCTCTTTCACTGATCCACCTTTCCAAGTGCGATGTCCCATTTCCAACGAATCGCCTCTCCTAACTACATGTCCAAAGCATAAAGAAGAAGCTTCACCATCCTCACCTCCAAAGAGAACCTCTGGCTGCACTTTTTCCAGGAATATGTTAATGAGTATTAGATCATATTGATGAGACAGAATTAGGTGGAACGCAACCTTCCTTATTCAGGCCACAGTCCTGATCACACATAAGGAAAGTTTCCCTGAAGTGTGGCACACAGTACCTTTTATTTTACAAGCGATAAAACAGAATCAAGCAGAGAACCTCTTTCTGGGACCTCTGTACTGGGAAAGAAGAGCCGGGAGCAGAGGGGGTTCTTTGGACCTGGGGTCACTGCACCAAGGTGCTCCTGAACTCCAGGGAAGATTGTTGCCCAGATGGGTGGAAATCTCCAAGGGCCTCCACTCCCACAGATTCTGGAAGGAGATGAGGGCTTTCCCCACAGAGAAAGAAAGCCTTTCCCCACAGTCAGCACCCTGAATTCAGGCTCTGACCTACTACACTGTGAGAAAGTGATTTGTTACCATTTTTCTATAATAACAGTAGAAAACCAAAACCAAGCGAAATAGACAGTTTGCTAATAATGAGAATAAAATCAAGTCATGCTTTTAGAAATGAGACTATGCAAATAATGTAATGGAACGCTTAACAAAGGCATTGGTCAGTTTTACCACCCCACCAGGCCTAAAATGAGCATGCTACAGGCAGATAGGGATCTGACCACCACCAATGAAGAACTGCTGGGAGCAGAGGTGTCTTTGGACCCCAGATCCCTGCAGTGAGAACCTCTTAGAGCCAGTAATGGAGAGGGAGAAAAAGGGCTTTGTAACAATAGAGACAACAGAATCAGGAGAAAGCCTGTTAGGCTTCATGGCCTCCCCTAGCCAGGCTGGTCCTTAGGGCCAAAGCTTACTGGCAGAGTGGGATTCCTTCAGGAACTTGTTGGAAGAATGCAAGAGCTTTGTAACTGCCTGGGCAGGCAAATGCCTGCCTTTGGGCATAGCGAAGATAAGTCTTTTCTGATCCTGAATTATAATGCTTTACTTCCCAACAAAATCGATACTCCACTAGCAAAACTCACAAAAGAAAAGAGAGAGAAGACGCAAATAATCCGAATAAGAGATGAATCAGGTAACATCACAA